CAGCTGGTCCCTCAATCAGAATTTTGATGACAGTTTCTAGAAATAGTTTATATTGTGGAATAATTCAAGACTGACAACATTCTCATCAGTATTTAAGAACTGTTCAATGTTTGAGTAAGAGTCTGCCTGGAAAGAGTTGGAGAGGAGTGTACCAACTTCCACCTAACCCATTCCCCTCTATGTTTTCAACAAGCATTTCAGTATTCTCTAGCCCAGCAAGCAATTCATGCTCATTACCGAGGGACCAAAGTTTGGACAATTCTCAATCATCATGGCATGCTCAGTCTCCACTGACTGAATCCAACACATAGACATACAAACTCAACTTTGCAGAAAGGGCTACTACCCGAAAGCTTCTGTTTGACAAAAGGACCCAAACAGCATTATGGCAATCCTCACCTGGGTAAGTATAAGTATAAAGTGAAGAGAGTGGTTTTATGCACACTCTTTTAAGGACAGATTCTTGGGATTCTTGTCCAACAAGGAGACCAAATATAGTAGTGGGGCTTTGGCACTTAAAGGACTCTAGTACATTAGGTTAGCACAGGGCAAATGTCTGGCAGAAGTAACAACAGTATGCAGTAAACGTGGTAGGACCAGAAGAGAAGGAAGGAGGTGCAAAAGTAGAGGACTGGATTAAAGGCACCTGTTAGCCAATGGGACCTGGTCCTGAACAGTTTATATAGGCTATGAACTCTTATATCCAAGGTGTTTAGATATAAAATCATTAAGAATTTCTTTCCTCTGTAAAATTTTTTTTGCCATAAGCCACATGTGTTCACTGGAGAGAAAGAGAGAGAGAGAGACAATATGAGGGAAAGTGAAGCACCTTCCCAGGGAGGGATGGCCACACTGCAATCCCTTCTTCTCCTGGGATTTGTACACCCATGCACATGTACCCAGTGTGATTTTCAAGTCACAAGGGCCAGGACTTGAACTACGGTTGGCCATGTGGGAGTCCAGAGCCTTAACCACTACACCACCTGCTGGTCCCATCATAAAGAATTTCATCACAAACACAGCAGAGCATTAAAGCAGGAGTAGGGCCCTTCTGAATGGAAGGCTCCGTGCTATACCCCAAGTCACATTTCCATGAAGCCTGTCCTGTTTGTTTTATCTGCTACCTCACAATTTAACACTTTTCTAGAGAATTGTCCTCCAGAAACTATACTCTGCTCCATCTGCAGACTTTGAACCGTAATTGACTGACGCAGGGGGAAAAAAAGACAGTTGTTTTAATGTCGAAGTGAGCCTACTTGTACTACAGGTTTCCAGGTGAGTTTAAATACATAATCTCCTATTAAACTCCATTTCCTCAACCCCCACCCCATGTCCTGTTTGGCTTCCTTTACTCCCTTTAACTTGATAGCACTATCTTGAGAAAATTATTTCATAAGTATCTTCATTACAAGCTCTGCTTCTTAGGATCCTGACCTAAAACAGGAAGTGTTTCTTTCTTTTTTTTTTAATAAGAACTTTAGTGTCATATTTCATTTTATTTATTATTTATTATTTTTATTATTATTTGATTTGAGCAGAGAGAGACAGAGGCAGAGAGAAGGAGAATGAGAAAGCAAACCTCCTAGTCTGGGACTCGAATCAGTCAGCCATGTGAGAGTCCAGCACCTTTAACCACCATGTCACCTGCAGGCTCCAGAAAGTGTTTCTTTATTAAAGTATTCCTGCTAAAATAATAAAAAGGGGAAAACAGAAAACACATAGTATTCACCTACTCTTGAGAAAACCTGAATTAAAGTTGAACCTCAATCTAATCAAGCTTTTGTAAAACTATCTACCATTTTATAGGAAACACAAGTAAAGAGGCTTTTGTTAATAATGATATCACCAAGATCAAGATTAGGAAAATAGAGAACAAATGATTCTGTTTCATCAAAAAATTGAAAAAAAAATTAAAATGTAAAAATTCTCAGCTTTTAATTTTTTAAATAGATAAAAATTTACAAGAAGGGGACAGCAGATGATGTAGTGTTTATGTCACTGGATTCCCACATGGCTGACCATGGTTCGAGTCCCAGACTCAGTGGCTTAAAAATCACACTGGGTCCATGTGTGTGCATGCCCATGATCCCAGGAGTAGAATGGAGGAGAAGGGATTGTAACATGGCCATCCCCCCAGGGAGTGATTTCTTACTTTCCCTCTCATCGACTGTATCGAGCTCTCTCTCTGGCAAGCACACTTGCCCTATGGCAAAAACCTCTTTACACAAATTGAAAGAAATAGGACCAGCAGGTGGCATGGTGGGTAAAGTGCGGGATTCTCACATGGTTGAACACGGTTTGAGTCTCACATCTGGTGGCTTAAATGCCATGCCAGCCGTGGATGCCCAAAATCCCAGGAGGAAAATAGAGGAAAAGGATGGGACCAGCAGTTAGCATAATGGCTATGTCACTGAACTCCCAAGTACTTGACCGCAGTTCGAGTCCTGGACCCGGTGGCTTAAACTCATGCCGGGCACATGTGTGCGAACCCAAGAGCCTGAGAGGAGAATGGAGGAGAAGGGATTGTGGCGTGGCCATCCCCCCTGGGGGGTGATTTCTTGCTTTCTATCTCTCTGTCTGGTTCTGTCTTTCTGGCGAGCGCATGCACCCTATAGCAAAAATCTCTCCAAACAAAAAAAAAAAAGAAAGAAAGAAAGAAAGAAAAGAAAAGAAAATAGAGGAGAAGGGATTGCAGCATTACCATGCTTCCTTGGGGGGTGGGGTGGGGTAGGGGGTGGTTTCTCACATTTCCTCTCTTTGTATTTTCTTTGTATCTGTCTGACCAGTAAACATGCCCTATAACGAAGGGAAAAAAATAGAAAAACGAAAAAACTTAAAAAAATAGAAGATATGGTTACCAATTACACTGAATGGGTCATATTTGGATCTTGATTCAAACAAATTGTTTTTTAATGAAATAATTGTGAATTTAACCATGAATTGGACATAAAATGATGTTAAGGGACCAGCAGTTGGTGTAATGGCTATATTGCTGGACTCTCATAGTCGACTGCTGTTTGAGTCCCGGACCTGGTGGTTTAAACTCACACCGGGCACTTAAACTCACGCCAGGCACATGTGCGTGCGTGCCCAAAATCCTGAGAGGAGGATGGAGGAGAAGGGATTGCGGCATAGCCATCCCTCCTGGGGGGTGATTTCTTGCTTTCTGTCTCTCTGTCTCTCTCTGTCTTTCTTTCTGGCGAGCGCACATGCCCAATAAGAAAAAAACCTCTCCAATAATAATAATAAATTTAAAAAGAAAGAAATTGCTAATTGTTATGTGTGATAACAGAGAAAGTCCCTAACTTGTATATATGCACTTTGAAATATGTATGCCTAAAATGATAGTATTGGCTTCAAAACTAATCTCTCAGGGTGGTAAGAATAAGATGAAATAAGATCAGTCATGAACTGTTGACTGTGAAAGCTAGGCAATGTGTATACAGGGTTATATTATACTATTCTATTTTGCATTGTTTATTTGTCCATGATAGAAAGTTAAAATTAAGCCAATGTAAAAAATAAAGAGAATAGATTTTTAGTTAAAAAAGGAACAAAAAGGGAAAAGCATTAAGAGAAATTAAAATAAAATGAAATAATTTCCTGTCTCACCCGGCTTTCCAAAATAGGGAAACCAGTGGGCACTGCTACCAAGGGCCACCATTTGTGGGAATGAGATATGTGGGACAGATATTCTCTTTTTAAACTTTCGTATCTTGCCCATCATGGAAATATCTTGCATTAATTTTTTTTTTAAATATTGCATTAAAATGTTATTTTTCTTGACTACAGAGGATTTTTGCACCCCCTAAAATTCAGCGTCCAAATCCTAGTAAGGGAGAAGGAGGAATCTCAGGAGTGGAGGGGAGGGAGAAGCAAGTCTCCAGAGACGTGGCAATGGCCAACAGCTCCAAGAAGACACTGCCCTTCCCCAGCAAGGTCCGGGAATACACAAAGAAGGGAGAGCGACAGGGCCCAGGATGATGGTGACATTCAACAGACCTGGGAGGAGGATGGGGGTGGGCCGACTAGTCAGAGCTGAT